TTGGAATTCCCAGTGGCAGTGTTATCCGTGTTTTTTTTTTTGGGGGGGGGCGGGCGACAGGCTTGAGATATCATCGTGAAACTGACCGCCCCTATGTGATTCCAGAATTTTCGGCCATCTGGTTCCATCTGGATTCGAACTCAGGTCTGTGTTTCAATAGTTTATGGGTGTACCAATTGAGCGGCAGTGTTTTCACACTGGCGCAAAGTGCTGCTTTGGGCGCCATTTCAGCCTCTTGGACATGAACAGTCGCACTGTTTTCACACTGCCAGGAAGTGCTGCTATTGGGCTCCGTTTCACCGCGCCCTTTTCTGTGGGCTGCACTTGTAAGTAGAGGGCGAGGCATGACCAACGACTCTGCCTCGCGGTCTGATCCAGCTCTCCTCCTCTTGCTAAGAGCATGGTCACACCAGGCCCTCAACAAACAAAATGAGCGCCCAGATCGAGTCCCTGTAAAGGAGGGACTAGATCTGGCTGCTCATTTTGGGACTCTGCAATTTTGAGGTCCTGGTGTGAGTACGCCCTAAGGTTGGTTACCAAATGCATGGGGGTCAGGGAGGGGTGGAAGGGGGGTTACATCCTCCTCACTTTTTGCTCGTCCTCCTCCCCCCTTGCTTGGTATGGTTACCCAAAGCACAAACCTCATACCCACCACTCCAAGGCAGGCACCTCTCCCTTACCCAACTCACTCCGCTACACAGCATACTAAATGTATGTGGTCCTCTTAGACGTCTAGTACATTCACAATTTTCGCCCAGTCCTGTTCTATCAGGTCTATCGTCCAGTTCAATGGGAGCTACCGGTAGGCCCAAAGGCGCGTTCTTGGTTATCCTCCACTTAGTTCTTCATTTCTGGCCGTAGATTAGTCAGACCGACGGCCCGAGACAAGCAGTCACCAAAAGGGAAGACAATGTTATGGGGCCACGCTCCACTAACGAAGGATTTAGGGGCTCGCCACACCGCTGTCGAAAACACGATGATGTTTGATAGTTTGGGGCTCTTTTTGGGGCTCGCCACACAGCCTTTCGGAACATGGAAAATAGACACCAGGTCTTCGCCACACAGGCTTT